CCCCCTGCCCCTCCTCTGCCCCTTCCCCCACCCCCTGCCCCTCATGTGTGGCATGGACATTCCTCAGGGACACTGCTACTTATCCCTGGCAAAACACACATTACTGCTCATGGGGACACGGTCTTTGGGTTTATTTTGTGAATCATGTTTGCTAACATTGTATGGCATCCTAGGGCATCCTTGAAAGGATCTCAGGGCACCCTAGGACTGGTTCTGTGGCACCCTGGATGAGAACCACTGCTCTAAACTCTATTAAGTATTTAAAAACTTATGGGGAGAGTATGACAACCATGTATCAACTGAGTACTTTGGACATTTAAGTACTTGCTACCATTGACTTCAATAGGACTTACATACCTAAATTCTTGGGAAATGTGTGAGGATATATGTAAAAGTGCCCTTTACTCTAAAAACACACCTAAACATTTTCAGTGGAGAGTATATCCCAAATACATTGAATAAAATATTCAAATTGAAATGTTTGATTTTTTTTCCCCTCCATTTATTAATACATTGTATTTTGTTTAGGGACGTTGCTATAATGGAGAATGCAAGACAAGAGATAATCAGTGCAAATATATCTGGGGATCTAGTAAGTTGGGAATGCCTGCTTTTTCTATATATTCTTTGTGTACATTCTTTCTTTAGTTTGCATACTCAGTCCACTGCTCTACTTTTTCACTTGGTACTTGGAGCTACAGAGGTATGGTGACTATTACCTGCTGTATTTGCAGCTTTAGGTAAGGTGAGTAGCAAATGCTACAATGTATTCAGGCTTAAAATCATCACAGAATTATAACTAAACTATGCAAACACATCAGCTATGTGTCTTTGGATAAGTATTTTGTTTTATTCAGAGGCTGTCTTCATTTGATTAAAACTAAGTTTTGTGGGTTTTTTTAAAGAGCTATTGACTCCATCTTCTTTAAGATTACAGCATAGTTGTTCTATTCTAGAGACACACCTGCTATGATGTGGTCATCTTGTATCCAGAGCCTACATGTCACTCTTTCATTTACTAAATGGAAATGGAATACACAGGACATTAATTAACCTTGAATACAGTTGATTTAAAGGAAGTTACAGCAATGATGGATTTTATCCAAAGAGTTTACAGGAAAAAAATGCACTAGATAATGATTTGGGGATAATGCAGTAGAACTAAATTGCCAGCAGATCCCAGCCTCCATCACTTACCCTTTTCATATCATCATAGTAATGATTTACTCTAGGTTCCAAACCCAAAGCTGTTATGGTATACACATATGTTTCTGTAACAGATAAGAAGGTTCCTCCCTATTATATTGTTTGGAAAGTTCTCTTTCTTGTCTGTTATAAACCATACAGAAAATGCTGCATGTAGTACAGAGAGGGATAAAAAGACCATGTTTTTAGCTGACTCCTGGCATCTTTCTTTTGGCTTAGTGGCAGTGCATTACTGGCTCATTCTAATATACTTTTTTTTTTTTTCCCTAAAAAAAGCTAATGGGTTGGTTAGTGAGAAATTCTGTTTCAACTCTGCCAGCGTTGGAAGATATACCTAAAATACATAAAAGTAGTAACCCAAATCAAATTCCAGGAAAATCCCTTTAGGCTTCACCTTTGCTTTTCTCTATCCCTGCTTGGTCTGAGCACCTAGAGTCAGTCTCATGCTCTTGCTTTACTGGTTTTCAATTTCACATCAGCTTTTTATTTGTATAGTTGCAAGAAGAATCAGCTCCATAGGATATGTGGTATATAGGAAATCTGGTGCTACAGCTGTATGTCTGTTTCACACTGCCATACAATGCATATGTACACAATCTAGTTCTAAGACAGCCATCTTGAGTACCAGAAGTAGTATGCTCAAAATAAACATATTAGCAGGGTGAGTAGTCTTCATGGAGCTGGAAATAGCTGTAGTTAAACTACCCCTGGCATTCAAGCCAGTTTGCTTTAAGTAAGGTTGGGTGTC